TTCTTCCAGCTAAACACCAACAGAAAACCCACACTTCTAGTGGCTTCATCAGAATTGAGCAGGGATTTGATCTTCTTCACCCACTCTTGATAAAAAAAACAAAAGTAAACTTTCAGCTAGCTAGGAGTAGAGGGTAACAACTTCACTTTGATAAAGAGCATCTACAAAAACGTAGAGGTAACATCATACTTAAGGTTAAGCGCTTCCCTCTAAGATAGGGAACAAGATGACTCTGCAAGTTCTAGCCACTGTGGTAAGGCAAGAAAAGGAAATAAAATGTATACAGATTGGAAAGAAAGAAATAAACTGTCCCTATTAGCAGATGATATGAACATCTACATAGAAAACCCCAAGCAACCTACAAAAATCTCCTAGAAGTAATAAGTGATTTCGTCAATGTCACAGGTTGCAAAATCAACACAAAAAACCAATCACATTTTTATATACTAACAATAAACTTATGGAAACCTAAATTAAAAACACGTTACTATTTACAGTAACTCCAAAGGAAATTAAATACTTAGGCATAAATCTAACAAAGTATGTACAAAAACTATGTGTGGAAAACTGTACAATTGTAAGGAAAAAAATCAAAGAAGTCTGAGTAAATGGGGAAACATACAGTGTTCATGAATTGGAAGACTCAACACAGTAAAGACGTCAGTTCTCTCCAAATTGATCAACAGGTTTCATGCAGTTTCTAACAAAATCCCAGCAAAGTTTTTATCGACATAGACAAACTTATCCTAAAATTTATATAGAAAGCACAGGCTGTATGAGAGATTTTTAAAATCTTGAAAAAGGAAGAAGGTAGGAGTAATGACAATTACTGCTCACTATCGTCTTATTATTTAGTTACAGTAATCAAGACAATGTGGCACTGGTGGAAGGATAAACACATAGATCAGTGGAACAGAATAGATAAACCAGAAATAGACCTATACAATTATGCCCAACTGATTTTTTACGAAGTTGCAAAAGTAATTCCGTGGAGGAAAAATAACTTTTTCAATAAATGGGGCTACACGTCCATAGGCAAAAAAGGAAAAGAAAAGAAAAGAAAATCTCAGCCTAAGTCTGACAACTTATGCAAAAACTAACTCAAAATGGATCACAGAATTAAACATCAAACACAAGCTATAAAAATTTTTCAAAAAACGATAAGAGGAAATCTTCAGGACTAGGGCTGGGCCAAGGTTTCTTACACTAGGCACCAAAAAGTATGGTCCATAAAAGGAAAAATTGGTAAATTAGACTTAATCAAAATTGAAAACTTTTGCTCTGTAAAAGTCCATGTGAAGAGGATAAGACCAGCTGTAGGCTGGGAAAAAGTATTTGCAACTCAGATTTTTGACAAAAGAATAATATCTAGAATACAGAAAGAACCCTCAAAACTCAACAGAAAAGCAAATCCAATTGGAATATGGGCAAAAGACATGGACGGACATTTCATGTAAAAGGATATACAAATGCCACATAAGCAAATGGAAGATGTTCAACATCATTAGTCACCAGGGAAATGCAAATTAAACAACAGAGACACATCACTACACACTTAACAGAATGGCAAAAAACATAGTGATAACACCAAATATTTTTAAAGTTGCAGAGAAACTGGATTCCCCATAAATTGCTGGTGGGTATATAAAATGGTACAGGCACGCTCAAAAACCGTTTGACAGTTTCTCATAAAACTAATCATGCAACTACAATACAACCAAATAACTGTACTCTTGGGTATTTATCCCAAAGAAATGAAAACCTATGTTCACACAGAAGCCTGTACACAAGCATGAAAGTTCACAGCAGCTTTATTTGTAATAGCCAAAAACAGGCATCAGCCCACACGTCCTTTACCAGGTGAATGGTTAAACACACCATACCATCCCCACCACTGCATACTACTCAGCAATAAAAAAGGATGAAATATTCATATGTGCAATGGTTTAGATGAATCTCTAGGGAACCATGCTAAGTAAAACAAAAAAAAAATCTCAAAGGTTACACATCATATGATTCCATTTGTATAACAGTTTTGAAATGAGAACATTTTAGAAATGGATGACAAAATAGTCATCCATTTCTAAAACAAAATAGTTGCTCTGAGGTGGGAGGTTGGGAGGGTGAAGTGAGTGTAGCTGTACAAGGCACAGGAGGGATCTTGGAGGTGTTGGAACTGTCCAGCATCTTGACTGTGGTGGTAGATAGATGAACCTAGACATGTGATAAAACCATATAGAGGTAAACACACACATATGAGGACAAGTAACACTGAAGGAATCTGAAAATGATCGATGGATTGTATTAGTGAATATCCTGATTGTGATATTAAACTATAGTTCTGCAAAATGTTCTCATTGGTGGAAAATGGACGAAGTGTACACATATCTCCCTATTTATTACAATTGTAGGTGAACCTACAATCATTTCTATAAAAATTTTGATTGAAAAAATAGTTTGCGAGGTTCAAGTGATGATGTTTCATAAAATGAAGTACATTCCTGATCTTTAAAAAATGGATGTTTAATTTCTAGCTGTAGTGAAAGAAAACCAGTAATGCCAAGTGCTAATGAGAATGCAAAGAAACTTGGTCACTAATGCCCTGCTAGTGGGAATGTAAAATGGTACAGCCACTCTGGAAAACAGTTTGTCAGATTCTTATAAAACTAAACATGCAACTACCATACATCCCAGTAATTGCATTCTTAGCTATTTATCCCAGAGAAATGAAAGCTTGTCTTCATACAAAAATCTGTACATGAGTGTTTAGAGAAGCTTTATTTGCAATAGATGAAAACTGGATACAGGATGTCAGCCAAATGGCAGAATAGGAGACTCCTGACTCTCGCTCCTCCCGCAGACACATTGAATAAACAGCTACACACAGATGAACCCCCTCTCAAAGAAACCCAGAAACTAGCTGAGAGACTCCTACACATCAGGCAAATGAGAAAATAGCCACATCAAAATGGGTAGGAAAAGTTGAGACGCAGTCTCACCGTATACCCTGCTGCCAGCACAGCACCTTACAATCAAGTGGGAACTCCCAGTTTTTCCCTGAGGAGCACAGCATTTGGACCACACATCAGCCCATTTATAGGCTTGTCACTGGAGGAAGTGTCTCCTATCTTGCCTATTTCTAGGAGCTGAGAAGGCCCAGCACTTGCTAGTCCACTAAAATAAAAAAAACCAGTATTAATGGGAACCCGACCACCTCCCACAGCTATTCCCCCTGTATCAGCCTAGACTGTGCATGGAAAAACACCAGCTCTCAGCTTCTCCTGGAGAGGGTTAGACTGCACATCTGAAGTCCTAACTTCTCCAGCTGCTGCCTGAGGGTCTGGCTTGTAGGTAGCCTGCATCTGGGAGCTGCCAGACTGGAAACACTACTCTCCTGGGAGTCTGAATGAGTGAGTGGGCACTTCTGCAGCTCCTCAGAACCAAGCCTCCACTAACCAGCCTGTCTCTGAAAGCCAATATGCTGCAACATTCATGAGGCGGTTGGGGGCAACAGAGAGTAAAGCAACAGTTTAAATGAGTGTGTGGTCTGAAGGAGAGTGTGGGCATTTGCCACAGATCCTCTTCCACCTCAGTGCAGAGGGAGAAGGTGATAAACTCCAGCTCTCAGCTTCTCCCAGAGGAGATAAGGAATTGGACCATGCACGTAGCACCTCAACTTTTCTAGCTGCTAGAGGGACTGGCTTCTATCTCACCTGTCTCAGAGCACTAACAGGACTTGGCACACCTTAGTCTCCTGGGCACACTACAACAAAGACAGCAGTTTGGACAAGCAAAAAGGGATGAGAGGTACCCAGAATCTCTGGCTGGGCTGATTGGTGAGGTCCAACTCCTGCACTAGTCGGGTCCACGAGGTCAGGCTGTGAAGACTGGCAGTGGTGGCTGTTTTATCTAATGCACAGAAACCAACACAGAGAACCCTCAGGACTTCCCTACCTTTATATTAGGCTCAGAAATTATTTATCTAACCTCTTTTCTGGAGAAAGGAGAGACATAGACATAGCTGTCCTTGGAAGACATAACTCCTACAACAGTGTTTAATCAAACCATTTCCAGACATAAAAATCTAAATCACTCAACACTCTTTGGACAGTGTCAAATCCTTCCTAATCAGATTATGCCTTAAACATAATTAATTCTCAAAACAAACAGGAAAGGAAAATACGCACTCGAATCAGACGTACTAAAAATCAAATACACACCGTGCACACGCTGTGTCAGACGTGACAGGGCATACTTCCCCCCAGGGCTGATTGTCATCAGGTGGGAGCCACTTCCTTAATGAGTCTGTAGACACCATAACTGACTCAATTCTAAGCCACTTTTTTATTATTAATACATTCATTTTCCTTTTAAACTTTTCTGATTATGACTTCTGTTAGTTTTGGCTGCATAAAATGTCAACTAAAATTTAGCTTAACCTGGAAGACACTGGCAACTCCTACACCTAAAGTCACATAAAGGAGAAAAAAAATCTCTAATGTGGAAGGAGAGAATTTGGTACTGGGACCACCTAAATTTCAGACACCTGTTGGACCCAAGACTTGGCAATATCAATTACAGAAAAAAAAGCGTAAATTTAAAAGTTCTGCATTTTGTTGATGTTTCAAGAAAGAGTTAAAGGCAATTTTATTAGCAACATTTGGTACAGCTGGAAGAGGATAAAATGAAAGGACCATCTTAACCTCCTGGAGTTACACTGAGCTCTTCATACCTCTAAAATCAAGACTCAAAGGGAGAACTTAGCGAGCTCACTGCTGATTCATTTATATAAACAGATACAATTAATGAAATACCATTAATCTTCACAAGGCTATTGTATGATGATTTTATGTAGTTTTCAGAAACAACTTGTTTCTGAAATGTCAAACCTTGAATAAATAAAATGGTAAATAAGGGTTTCTATCTACTTTTCTTATGTATCAGAAAACTGAGCATAAGAATGTATCGTGAACAGCAATTATTAAATCTGGTTGGCAATTTTTTTATTCTTAGCTTAAAGACTTGTATACTAGGCTCTCCATAAATATTGTTTGAATTGAATTCATATAAGATCAATGAATAGAAAAAGCAAAGAAGATATTGCTCATCACAATGTAGATAACTCATCTGAGTTTTCAAATTGTAGAAGGTATTGAATTGCAAAATGAGATAGTCCCCATCTAGCTGAAAATGAGCATAAAGTAGATCACCATACACAGAGATTCTATAGAGGAAACTGAACTAGAAGAGCAAGAAGATCCATTTACCCTCCAAAGCTCTATGACTCTATTCCTACAGTCTCATCCTGGACAGAGTCTTCCTCAGAGCCTGGTGGATCTGCTTGTTTTGCAGAGTGTAGATGACAGGGTTCAGCAGCAGGGTCACCACCGTGTTCACAAGGGCAGCCTCCCTGTTCGAATCCAGCCGGTTCGTTTGCTTTGGTTTCACATATGTAAAGACACAGCTGCCATACATCAGAGAGAGGACAATGAGGTGAGATAAGCAGGTGGAAAAAGCTTTCTGTCGCTCCTTGGCTGACGGGAGACGCACGATTGTGACTATTATGTTGCTGTATGCAATGAAGGTTAAAATGAGGGCTATCAGAATCACAAGTAAAGCAAGGAAGAAGATATATATTTCAACAGATCTGGTGTCAGAACAGGAGAGGTGAATTAAGGCGCCAAGGTCACAGAAGAAATGAGAGATGACATTGGGGCCACAGAAGGATAACTGGGAAACCTGGACCAGCAGTCCAGTGATGAAGATAAAGGACAAAGTATAGCAAAAGAAAACCAGGAGGAAACTAACCCTCAAGTTCATGACGGTTGGGTAGCGCAGAGGCTTGCAGATGGCCAGGTGTCGATCCAAGGACATCACAGCCATGAGGAAGAAAATTATTGACCCAAGAAATAGAAAAGCAAAGGCTTGTGTGAGACAAGCAGTAAAGGGAATTGTCTGCCTTCCTGAAAGAAAGATGGAGAGCAGGGTAGGAATAACTGTGGTGATAAAACAGCTTTCACAGAAGGAGAAAGTGCTGAGGAAAATATACATTGGCGTCTGGAGGCGATGGTCAACCCAGGTGATGGTGATTATCACCATGTTTCCCGTGATGGAGGCCAGGTACGCCAGCAGGTGCACCAGGAAAAGAAACTTCCCCAGGTGCTGGACGGCAGGAAACCCCTCCAGAACGAATTCCTGAATTGTTGTCTCATTCTTCACCTCCATAGTTACTTCTGTCTCTCTGTCTGTCATCAACTGTTTGATCTGTGAGGCAGAAAATACTATCACCAAAGAATAAAGAATTTAATTGAAGAATTCTTTTAAAAAACACTACTTGCAGCTACAATTCTGAATGAAGAACCATTTTATATTTTTAAAATATTTTATAATAAATGATTCTGAATTTTTCCTATTATTATGCTGTAAAGAGTGAAGGTTTATTTTTTGCTTTTGAAAATAAGTTTTAATGTGCAACTTAACTTTTTTGGAAAATGGTATCTTTGAATACTAATCCATGAGCTAAACGATGCAAAATGAAAATTATTGTTTGCAGACAACTGATTCAGCTAACAGATAACAATGGAGGCTGTCATCCCACAGAAAATATTTCTTCAAAGGGTCACAGTGTTAATTTCTATACTTCAGGTATGACATGCAATGTATGCAGTCCTCATAAGCACTGACCTTAGCCCTCTGGAAATAGAAAACATAAAAAAGCTGTGAAGTAGCCATTTGCTATTACCATGTTCCAAACCAGTTATTTTCCTGAAGTCCATTCAGCCTGAGTTATTCAGCCAAAACCCTAGAGTGAACAGGAAAGGTATTTCATAGTATCTCATAACTACCCAGTCCATGAGTTTAAGAGAAACCACGTCTAAAGATGGGGGAAAAAATGGTCACGTGACTTGGTTGGTCAGACTCAATGAATAAACTTTTAATGGGTGAATCAGTCTCGCTCTCACTCTACCAGCCTAGCAGGATGGAAGTGTGTCCTTCTGCTGTTAGTCATAAATTATCCTTCAACATTCTTTTTTCTGGGAATATTCTTGTTATATGGGAAGATTTTGGTGTGGTAGAATTACACCTGTATTCCCATTGCAATCACTAGAGGAACATTCACTCAAAAAAAAAAATGCCAATGTCTTACTAGAAACCAGATGAACTGATTCACAATCTCTGGAAGGGGTTTGGGCATCTGTTGGATATCAGTGCTCTAGTGAATAAGTCTCCATGATAAACTTGCATTTTACTTAATTGTTTGATTGACCAAACCTATTACTTTACCTATGCATGATCCAGAACACAAGCTTACACATAACCAGTCTCCGGTTTAAATATTTGACTGGTTAGACCACAAGTCGTCCCCATGATCAAGTCCTCACCCAGAAGCAGCTCACAGAAAACAGAGCTTCTTTGATAACAAGCTTTTCTTTTCTTCCAATAGACCAGGATGTTTCTCCCAGGCTAAAGGAAAAAGAAAGAAAGAACACTTTTAGTTGAGGTGTACCTTTCTTTGACCTGTTAAAAAACCAATGGATGCCTTATGTCTTAAATTAATAGGAAATTATCAAGGCTATTTTTTTTTCAAGGAAGACAGATGTACAAACTCTCTAGGATTAAGACTCATAGTTTCCCCCATGACAATACGACTGATAAATCCTAGACCATTAAGAAAATACAAACTAGGGGCTGGCCCCGTGGCCGAGTGGTTAAGTTCGCACGCTCCGCTGCAGGCGGCCCAGTGTTTCGTTAGTTCGAATCCTGGGCCCGGACATGGCACTGCTCATCAGACCACGCTGAGGCAGCGTCCCACATGCCACAACTAGAAGAACCCACAACGAAGAATACACAACTATGTACCAGGGGGCTTTGGGGAGAAAAAGGAAAAAATAAAAAAAATCTTTAAAAAAAAAAAAACTATCCCAAATATGCACTAGGTTCTGCTGATGTTACTATTTAGAATTCCTGAATGTATTTAAATCCATTCTATGGGACACAATGACACCGTCTATCATGAACATCAGACTTGGTTGGTTGTGTATCTGTCCCAGAAGATCGTCAGAAAGAAGAGACAACAAAGGTCAGTTTCTTTGTTCGTGGACCTTGTTGTGAGCCACTTTCCCATCAACCAGTTGCTCCCCACCTTTCAGAGTAGGTGAGGATTATTGGAGTCATAAATGAGAATACATTCAAATTCCCTTATGATATGTTTACCACAGGTTTATTTACCATCACCACTGAAGACACACAAGGTCCCATAGGACAAACCTCTGGAACATTCAGAACTCATTAGAGGACTATGAAAAGAGGGAGCAGGAACTAAAATCACAACAGAGTCCCACGGGACATTTAATTGCTCACGTTTGGAAATAGGGAATTCCGCCAGAAATATATCGTAATTACCATTTCCCTGCATATGCTAACAAACTACCATCATTCTCGATAATCTACACAGTCTTCTGCGAAAGTCGTCAAAGGTAGATTTGGAGTGACTGCCCTACAGTTGTAAAAGCCCGAATTACATATGTGAGAAAGACAGCCTTAGGCAACAGAAAGACATTTTACAATGAAATTCTTTGCTCTTATTTTTCGTTTTAACCTGGTATTTTCTTTATTGAGGTATAATTTCAATGCTGTAAAATGCAAATTTTAATTGTACAGATCAATAATTTTTTGCACATATAAATAGCCATGTAACCACTACACAAATCAAACTGGAAAACATTTTCATCTCATCATGTTTCCTTGTGCCCCTTACCAGTTAATTGCCCACACCAAGTGAAAACAACTATTTTGAATTTGATTGTCAAAATTTACTTTTGCCAGTTCTGGAAATTCCTTTTCTCTGGCTTTTCTTTCCCCCTCAACATGTTTCCCAGAGTTATCCATGCTGTTTCATCTGTCAATGATTTATTATTTTATACTGCACAGTAGTAGTCCATTATACATGTACACCACAGGTTTCCATTCTTCTATTGAAGGACATTCATATCCTTTCCAGCTCAGGGTTACTATTAATAAAGCTACTGTGAATATTCTGGTATAAGTGTTTTTTAAAACATAGCATTCATTTCTCCTGAGTATATAACTTGGTGTGAAAGTACTGAATTAATTGTAACATAGGTCTTAACACTATAAGAAATTGCAAAAGAGCTTCCAAAATTGCATTTAGACTGTCAGCAGCAGTGCATGGGAATTCAATGTGCTCTGCATTCTCACCAACATTTGGTCTTGTAAGTCGTTTTTAATCAGAGGCATTCTCTGTAAATTGGTTTAACCTCTACAGAAAACATATGGAGGTTCCTCAAAAAGTTAAAAATAGAACTACCATATGATCCAGCAATTTCACTTCTGGGTATGTACTCAAAGGAAGTGAAACAGGATATGGAAGATGTATCTGCACTTTCATGTTTATCACAGCATTACTCACAATAGTCAAAATAGAGAAGTAACTTAAGTGTCTGTCAACCGATTAATTGAAAAAGATGTTCTCTGTCTATATATATTAAAATGGAATATTATTCAGCCATGAGAAAGAAGGAAATCTTGCCATTTGCAACAACATCCATGGTTCTAAAGGACAATATGCTAAGAGGAAAAAGTTAGAGAAAGACAAATACTGTATGATATCTTTTTTCTTGATCAGTCCTGCTAAGAGTTGAACAATTTTATGAGTCATTTTGAAGAATCAAATTTGTTTTGTTAATATATTATTTGCTTTTGACTTCATTGATTCATATCTATGTGCTTTCATATTTATGTGAATTTGTATATTTATGCATACTTTGGGTGTTATTTCCTTTTCATCTCCTACATTTTAAAGTTGGAAACTTAAATGATTCATTTTATACCTTTGTTTGTTCTAATATGTGCATTAATGCTATAAATTTCCCTCTAAGCATGGCTTTAGGTTGCATTCCACAAATTTTAATATGTTGTGTTTTCATTTTTGTGTGGCCAAGATATCTTCAAATTTCCTTAGCAATAGTTTCTATAATCCATGCTCTATTTAGAAATGTATGGCTTATATCCAAGTATTGAGAAATTTTCTAGATAAATTATTGCTTTCTTATTTAATTCAATCATGATTGCAGAACATATTCTGTATATTTTTGGTCTTTTGAAATGTTTTGAGGTTTGTTTTACAACTCAGCATAAAATCGATCTTGGTGAAATTTCCATGTGCACCTGACAAGAATGTTCACTCTGTAGATGCTTAATGTAATGATCTAAGATTATCAGTTATGTCCACTTAGTTGATAGAATCGTACAAATCTTCTATACAATTACTGATTTTGGGGGGCCTTTTTGTTCTATTATTTACTGAAATTATGGTGTTAAAAGCTCCAACTATCATTGTGGATTTTTTATTATTTCTCCTTTTAGTTCTTTCAAGTATTCTTAAGCTCTTTCATTGTATGCACGTATATGTACATTATGTCTTCTTGATAGTTTCATCCCTTTATCACTGTAAATTTACCTCTTTCTCTGAAAATACACTTGGCTGTGAAGTCTATTTTTGTATATATTACTATAGTTACACAAGCTTGATGTTTGTGTGAAATTTCTACTCTGTCTTTGTATTTAAACGTTATTCTTATAACCAGCTCATAGCAATGTCTTCCTTTTTACCTAATATTGTAATCTCTCTCTCTGTTGTAATTTGAGTGCTTAGTCCATTTACATTTAATCTCATTATTGTAAAGTTAGGTTTAACTCTACAGTCTTGACGTTTCCTTCTATTTGTCCCCAGCATTATATATTCCTTATTTTCTCCTTTCTTCCTTTGAATTAATCAAGCATTTTTAATATTCCACTGTAATCAGCTTTATTGTCTTTTAAACAGCTTTACTGAGGGATCATTAATATCCAATAAAATGAATATATTTCAAGCGTACAATCTGATAAGTTTTGACATATTTAAACAGTTGTAAAATCACCACCACAATGATTATAGTGAAAATATTCATCAGCCCAAATGTTTCCTACTGTCCTATTGTGATGATTCTATTTTATCACCTTTGTGGGCTTCTTAGCTATAACTCTGATTTTTATTTCAGTGATTGCCTCAGAGTTTATAGTATAACTGTTTTACTTGTCTACCTTCAGTGATATTTTACCACTTCACATATAAGAAAACTATAATAAAATACTTCCATTTCTAGCCTATCAGCCTTCATGCAAATCTTGTCATACGTTTTCCTTATACATATGTTATAAGCCCCACAGTGTCTTGTTACTATTGTTGTTGACAGAGTCAATTATCTTTCAAAGAAATTCAAATAACTTGAAAAATATCTTATATGCCTACCAAGCTAGTTACTGTCTGTTGCTCTTCATTCCTTTGCATAGATCCATATTTCCATCTGGTCTAATTTTCTTTCTTTTGGGATGACTGACTTTACCAACTATTATTCTGTGGATTTGCTGGTGATTGACTCTTTTTTCTTTTGTATGCCTTCCTTTTTTAAAGATATTTTCATGAATATAGAATTCTAGGTTGGCAGATTTTTATTCACAGTCCTTTAAGAATTGTGCCATTGTATTCTCACTTACTTATTTTCAAAGAGAAATCTTTGTTATCTTTATCTTTGTTCCTCTGTATGAAACGTGTCTTTTTTTCTTCTGGCTACTTTGAAGATTTTCTCTTTGTCACTGGCTTTGAGCAATTTGATTGTTGTATGCCTTGATGTCATGATTTTTTCATGTTTCTAGTGCTTGGGTTATGCTGAAGTTTTTGATGCTGTTTTCATGAAATCTGGAAAAATTTTGGCCACTGTTTCCTTAAGTCCTTTTTGTTATCCCCCTCCACACACGCACTCTTCCATCAGAAATCTAGCTCTATGCGTGCTGGCTTGCTTGATTTGTCCCACACTACACTGATGCTTCTTTCAGTTTTAGGTGGATTATTTTTTTCATTGTGTGTTTTATTTTTAAAGGTTTCTATAACCATATCTTCAAGTTTACTCATCTTTCATCTGCAATGTCTAACATCCTATTCATCCCATCCAATAAAACTTTCGTCTGAGACATAAGTAGACTCAGAGAAGTGCAATTTGCTTTTTTAAAGTCACTTTACTGAAGTATGGTTGACATTCAAAAGGCTGTACTGATTTAATGCATACAACTTGATGAGATTGGAGATGTGTACACACTCACAAAACCATCGTCACAATCAAGATTTGTGGTAAGCGCACGTAATGTAGGATCTACCCTTTTAGCAAAATCTTAACTATACAATACAGTGGTGTAACAAAAGGGCCTGTGTTGTACAGCAGACCTGCAGAGTTATTGATGCTGCAGTACTGAAACTTTGCATACTTTGATTGACACCTCCCCCTTTCTGTCTCCTCCCAACCCCTGGTAACCACTATTCTAACTCTGGTCCTGCGTGTTTGAATATTTTAGATTCCTCATGAAAGTGAGATCATGTACTATTTGTCTTTCTGCATCTGGCCTATTTGACTTAGTACAATGTCCTCCACGTACATCCATGTTGTCACATATTTCAGGATTTCCTTCCTTTTTAAAACTCAGTAATATACCAAAGTTTCTTTACCCATTCATCCATCAATAGACACTTAGATTGTTTGTATATCTTGCCTATTATGAACAATGCTGCAATGAAGATGAGAGTGCAGATCTCTTCAACATCTGGACTTCAATTCCTTTGGATATACACCCAGAAGTTGGATTGTTGGATCATATGGTAGTTCTATTTTTTGAGAACCCTCCATTCTACTTTCCATAGTGGCTGCTCCAATTTACATTCACATCAACAGGCTACAAAGGTTCCCTTTTCTCCGCATCCTCACCAATACTTCTTGTCTCTTGATTTTTTTCATAATGGCAATTCTAATAGGTGTGAACTCATATTTCATTGTGGTTTTGATTTGCATTTCCCTGATGATTAATGATGTTGAACATTTTTTATTCACTATTTCTTGGCCATTTGAATGTTTTCTTTGGAAAAGTATCTATTCGAGTTCTTTGCCTATTATTATATTTGGATTATTTGGGGTTTTGTTGTAATTTATTTGCATTGGTTCCTTATATATTTTGAATATTAACAGCTGCGTATGGGCCCAGATTGAGACCTGGCTCCTGTTACTAGCCTGCACAACCGGGCTCACCTTCCCCAAAACCCCCTAGGTATGCACCTGCACGCCCCCAGCCCAGCTGCTGTCATCAGCCTCCACTGCCCTGTGTACTCCTATGGGGAGACCCTGCTGCCAATAACCGCACAGTTCATAGGTCATTCTGGGGAAAGATATATTGACAATGTGATACCTTAAGCAAAGAAAGTATCCCAAATGTCAGGAAAAGAGACAAGCCTACACAAAAAATATACGGAAATTGTTATGTATGCACAAGATGGACAAAATGTGTTCTGTTAGTTGAGTCGAGTTGAGTCTAATTCTCACATAATTGTGTGCCCAAAATCTTCACAACACAGCCATTTATCATTCCTGCAGTCACAGAATAATGTGGTCAGAGCAAAGCATGATAATAGCCATTAACCAACCATGCCAAGCAACCTCCCACTCCAGGGATTTTCTCACAGCACTTTGTCTCCAAATCTATCATTTCCTATCAAAATCTTGAAAAACTAGGTTACAGTTGTAATTTTTCCATTAAAACATCCCATCATCTTCTCCTTGCCAGACAAATTGTAGTTCCATTAAAGTGGGCCTCATGGGTCATATGAGGTAGCAATAGTGTCATTAGTACCAACAATGGACACCCAGAGATTAGCGCATCAAACCTCTCATTCCACAAATGGAGACACTTGATTATACACTCATTGGAAACTGTACATTCACACTCAGACTTCTTTTCACCATGATTAGATTCCCCCTGGCATTCCTTTAAATTTTTTTTTGTACTATGGAAACAATCTTAACTATTCAATTCCTTCTTCCAGAACTTATAATGCTTCTCTACCTTAGGTACTTTGCTTTTAGGTCTTCGGTACTGAAATCAACCTGTATACCAGTAAAACCAACGGGAACATTCAATTTAAACTACAGACATTTACATGTTTTCATCATAGTGGGAACTAGATTTAAAGATTTATATTCAATTATATACAGAATAGTCATTGTAAACAATTGTAGTGAGTCACTGTAAGTAATTTTATTAACATCGTGACAGTTATGTATGTATGTGTCCTCCAAAACTCAGTGTACCGACCATGTTACGTCTATCCTTGAACCAATTTGACATTCCTAATACTTGTGAATTTCATCCCCCATCCTCTTGCACTTACCACAAGTAGACGCTTGAAACCACAACTTCTCAACTTTGAGATTCCACATGCGTCAAACAAATTCGTGTACATGAGGTTCTTCATTAAATGTGTTGAATGCTATTGATCTAAAACTAGTAAATAGAAGCTCCAGGAAGACATTTGCATCTCAATCTAAAGAAGAATATTAGAGCTTTCAAATAGTGGACTATACTGGATTGTAAGATAAATTAGCCCCTATTTGAAGAATAAACAAGCAGAATCTTTAAAACCACATTTGTAAGTCCATATAGGGGATTCCATAAATAGGAGGGAGATTGCTTTATATGAAGAAGATGCATTCTCCTTCTGAGAGTCTGTGTTCTATCTCTGCAATCTAATCCTGGACAAAGCATCCCTCAGAGCCTGGTGAACCTGCTTGTTCCGCAGAGTATAGACGACAGGGTTCAGCAGCGGGGTCACCACTGTGTTCATAAGTGCAGCCTCTCTGTTGGAATCCAGCGAGGTTGTTTGCTTTGGTTTCATATATATCAGAATACAGCTGCTGTACATCAGAGAGAGGACAATGAGGTGAGATGAACAGGTGAAGAAAGCTTTCTGTCGCTCTTTGGCTGATGGGAGACACACGATTGAGAATACTATGTTGCTGTATGCAATGATGGTTATGATAAGTGATGTCAAAAGGACAAATGAATCCATGGCAAAGGCTAACATTTCAATAGATCTGGTATCAGAACAGGAGAGCTTAGTCAAGGGCCCAAAATCACAGAAGAAGTGAGGGATGACATGGGGGCCACAGAAGGATGACTGGGAAAGCAAAATAACTGGAACCACCATGAGGAAGAATCCCAAAGCCAAGCAGATAATGACCAGGAGGAAACACATCCTTGGGTTCATGACGGTCAGGTAATACAGAGGTTTGCAAATGGCCAGGTACCGATCCAGGGATAATACAGCCATGAGGAAGAAAATGGTTGTCCCCACGAAAAGAAAGACAAAGGCTTGTGTGAAGCAGGCAGCAAAGGAAATTGATTTCCTCCCTGACAGATACATGGCCAGCAACTTAGGAATAACAGTGGTTATGAAACAGCATTCACAAAAGGAGAAACTGCTGAGGAAGAAATACATAGGTGTCTGGAGGCGATGGTCAGCCCAAGTGATGGTGATTATGAGTGTGTTTCCCATGATGGAGGCCAGGTACGCCAGCAGATGCACCAGGAAGAGAACCTTCCCAAGGGGCTGGACAGATGGAAAGCCCTCCAGGGTGAATTCCTGGACTGCTGTCCTGTTTCTTGCATCTCCCGTCATTGACTTTTCCATTTCTTCAATCAACTCTCTTTGAGCTATTTTGCAGAATGTCATGACTGAAAAATGAAAACTCTTATTTTATTAAACCTATAAAATAGTGTAGGCATGGTGACTACATTAGTTTATTATTTTAAATATTATATTTTATGTGTAGTTTTTGCCCAGGATTAAGTAAAAATAAGTGATTTTTATCTTTGAATATGTTTATGTTAAATGTAGCCTCAAATCCTAGATAAATAAGAACGGTGCATATGACTCCAAGTTTTCATAAAAGATAATATAATTTTAACAGTGTTAGTCATTTTCCTATGTAGTCTATTGCCAAGCAGAGAAAAAAGTCCTTCTTCTATTTATAATCTGATCACGCAACATATTTCCGGTAAGATACCACTTGAATCATACATCACAAGGTGCATATTGCAAAGGGACGACTGTAGCCTTAAAAAAAACTTATGGTCATGGAGCCTATCGTCTCACAAAAAATATTCCCACATGATATCTTTAGGATTTGTCATTTATATTTGAGGTCAAAAAATCACTTGTGGGAGAATTTCCTGAGGCTCCAGCGACAGCCTTCTAAAGTGAGTTAGATTAGAAGAATAGCAGAAGGACTCCCAGCCCAGGCCATTTTCCTACTGAGCTTGAGACCAGTCAGCAGGAGAGGAGAATCTTGCCTCCAATCTGTGCCAAGTGGTCCGTCTAAGGGAGAATCTCTGTCTTGTGACCCTTTCAGTCCCTATACATAAGGGACACCAGCCTGAGGATAGAAAGAGGGATTGCATGCCTTGGCTCCAGCAATTATTTTCTAATTCACTCTCTCTCTTATTTGCTACCTAAACTAAATATTCTCTTTCACCCTTTAAATCCATAGACTTATCTTATGTGAGCCTTTGTCACTCTGGTTAACTAGTGTTTCTGTCTCTGATCTCTGAATTTGCTGTCTGATTTGGCCAAACGCCCACTCTTTTAGAATGTGACACCAGCTTGAAGAGGAACAGACTCTTCTTCAGTTTACAGTAAATTAATAGCAAAAATATCCAATCACACTAAGGCTACGCACTCACCCAGATGCAGCAACCAGAGCTCTGTCCTCTTCTTTTTCACTCTTCCAACGAACCAAGATGCTGGTCTAGGCAGTTACAAATGTAAAACAAAAAAAAGGAAAGAAAGAAATGCTTGCATTTGAGATGACCCTGATTGGTCCCAGAAAAAAGTTCAAGATGTGCACCGTGGCTGCTAAGCATCCTTCATAATAATGCAGAGCTTTACACAATTGAGATAAACTGAAGTTATGGCTCCATGGCAATCTTGCCTGATGAAATCCTGGGAAAGAAAGGAGAGCACATACTGCCCACAAAGTTCTACTGGTGTCTGAGAGTGATTTCACTTGGAATCTCAAAAAGCTTTCATACCCTCTTTGCAGGCTCCAGGGTCCCCAGACTCCCAGCCTACTTCTGCATGAGCCACACCACCAGCAGGGAAAATTCTTCAGGACATGGTCAGAGACAATAGCCTCCTCAATCAAACTGGTCCCTTTGACACAGTATTTTACTGACATGCATTGCAGGGCAAGTAGAATGCATTACCACTCCCTTACCTCTCCAGATTGGGGAGAACTCAGATGTCATTGGGAGCAGAGATGAAAGTGAAATTAACTTTACCCATCATATATTTCATATTGGACTGTCTCTTGACACCAATCAGGATCCACTAGGACCAGTAGGCAGACCCCAGACACACCAGACCTCATTAGAAGAACAAGTTCATCTAGAGATCAATGTCCCTCTAGGACCCCTGGTGGCTGCCAATTGGGTATTGTTGGAAATAGAAAATTATAATACAATCATTATGGTTATTCTTTCATTATGATTATAATAATATGGACTCCAAAATGTCTGTATTGTCCTCCACGAAAATCTTCAAAGTGCAGTACATACAACTCTCCCAGCCTTTATGAAGTCTCAAATTACATTATGTTACTAAGGTGTGGTTGACAGGTCAAGTTGGGAACCTTAACCCACATCTCGTGGTAATAAGGTGAAGCTCTCATTTATTCTGCCAGAGCAGTGCCAAAGAACACCAGATAAAGCACAAACTTTAAATAAGAGTTATTCTTATAAAATAACACCCAAAATGTTCAGGTTTCACTGGATAATAACCTGTCATACCAAGAACAAGGAAACTTCAACTTGAATGAAAAAAAAAACTATCAATCAATCACCAAAATCAAAATGACAGATATTAGAATAATATGACAGTTTAAAGCACCCTCTTAAAAATGCTCCAATGAGCAATAACAAATGTGCTTGAAATAAATTTTAAAGATAGAAATTTTCACCCCAAAAATAGAAGACATAAAGAAGAACCAAATGGAAATTTTGCAGCTGAAAAATACAATAATGAAATTTTTTAAAAAGTCAATGGATGAGCTCTCAAAAGCAGAATGAGGGGGTAGAGGGAAAAATCAATGAACTGGAAGATAGAACAATAGAAAGTACCCAGACTGAACAAAAAAAAGAAAGTAGACTAAAAACAACAGATACAGCCTCATGGACCTGTGGAACTACAACAAAAGAGCTAACATTCATGCCACTGGAGTCTGAAAAAGAGGAGAAACAGAGCGAGGTTGAAAAAGGACTTGGAGAAACAAGGCTGAAAACTGCTCAAATTTGTCAAACAATGTAACACACAGATTCAAGAAACAGAGACAATTCCAAATAAGAAAAATCCAAAGAGGTGCACACCAAGAAACATCATATTCAAACTTCTGGTAATTAAAGACAAGAAAAATTTTGAAAGCAACAAGAAAGAAACAATACATTACCCGTGGGAAAGAACAACTCAATGACAGTAGATTTCTCATCAGAAACCATGGCGGCCAGAAAGAAATAGTATAATATTTTTAAGTGCTGAAAAGAAACAACTGTCAATATATAGAGCCCTATATCTAGAATCCTATATCCAGTGAAAATATCTTTCAGGAATGAAGGGGAAATAAAAACATCCTCACATGAAGGAAAACAAAGAGAATTTGTCACCAGCAAACCTATCCTAAAAGAATGGCCAAAGGAAGTTCTCTAAATAGAAAGAAAATCGTATCTTCAACAACCACTAAAAATGCTAGGCAAAGAGATATGCTCAAAAGAATTATAGATAGGGGCTGGCCCCGTGGCCGAGTGGTTAAGTTCGCGCGCTCCGCTGCAGGCGGCCCAGTGTTTCGTTGGTTCGAATCCTGGGCGGGGACATGGCACTGCTCATCAGACCACGCTGAGGCAGCGTCCCACATGCCACAACTAGAAGGACCCACAACGAAGAATATACAACTATGTACTGGGGGGCTTTGGGGAGAAAAAGGAAAAAATAAAATCTTTAAAAAAAAAAAAAAAGAGAGAGAGGGAGGGATTTAAAAAAAAAAAAAAAGAATTATAGATAAAATGGAATTATAAAAACATTTCGAGTAACCCACATGAATTCAGGGGAAAAAAACAGAGAAATGAAAATAAACAGAAAACAATACATAAAATGGTAGACTTAAGCCCTAAGGAATAAAAAATTACCATTATTAGATTAATTGTGAATAGTCTAGATAAGCCAATTAAAAGACATATTGATAAAGTGGATTAAAAAATATAATCCAACCATGTGATGTCTACAAACACTCACTTTCAATATAACAATATAGGCAGTTTGAAAATAAAAGAACAGGAAAATATTTTTAATACAAATATCTATCAGATGAGGGCATGAGTGGTTATGGTAATATCGGAAAAAGTAGACTACAGAGCAAAGAAAATATCAGTCAGAGAGGACCATTACACAATGATGAAAGGATCAGTCCATCAGAAAGACATAGCAATTTGAAATGTGTGCACCAAATAACAGAGCTGCAAAATATGTAAAGTGAAAACCGATAGAACTGAAAGGAGAAGAAGACAAATCAACACACATATTTGCAGACTTCACCATCACTCTCTCAACAATTGATAGAACAAGTAGACAGAAAATCAGTAAGGATATAGAAGAACTCAAAAACACCATCAACCAACAGGCTCTAACCAACAACTGTAGAACACTCCACTCAACGACAAAGAATTCACATTCTTTTCAAGTACCTGTAAAATATAAACTGATCACATCGACTACGCTTAGGTTCTGGCAAGAGCTCCCTTACTGGCTTGCAGATGGCTACCCTCTTGCAATGTCCCCATGTGGCAGAGAGAGATAACTCTGGTGACCCCACCTCTTCTTATATGGGCACTAGTTCTATTTAAACAAAGCCCTACTCTTATGACCTCATTTAACCTTAATCACCTCCTTAAGTGCCCTATATCCAAGATAGACTTGTGGGGGGTTAGGGCTTCAACATACGAATTTTGGGGGGACACAATTTAGTTCATAGCGTGCCCTGATACCAAAACCAGACAAAGACAGTACATAAAGAAAATTACAGGCCAATGTCCTTCATGAACGTAGATGCAAAAATCCTCAACAAAAATTAGCAAAAGAGTTCAGTAATATATACAAAGAGTTATACACCATGACGAATCGAAGGTTATTCCAGAGATGCAAGGCTCATTCAATATTTGAACATCAATCTATGCAATCCACCACATTAAGCGGCTAAAGAAGAAAATTCAGATACGTCATTGTACGCAGAAATGTATTTGTAAAAATTCAACACCTGTTAAAACTCTCTGAAAAATACAAATACAAGCTAACTCACTAAACTTGCTAAAAAGCACCTACAAAAACCCACAGCTAACATTCTACTTAATAGAGACACACTGAATGCTTTCCCCCTGAGATTAGGGACAAGGCAAGGATATACACTCACTATTCTTATTCAGTAGTGTACTGGAAGTCTAGCCAGTGCAATACGACAAGGAAAGGAAATAAAAGACACACAGATCAAAAGAAAAAGTGAAACTGTCCCTATTTGCAGATGACATGAATATCGGGAAAATCCCAAGGAATTTACCAAGAAAAAGACTACAATGATATACAACTACATA